TGAGATTGCTCGTTCCAAGTTGCCCAGAGTTGGAATTACCTTCCCTCTCCGGGCAAGGTGTACTTATGATGAGTCAATGAAACCTCACTCATAAGGCATCCAGACACTAAGGCCGGTCCAAGGGTTTCAGGCATCATGGGTGGTAACATCACTTTCTCAACCCTCTGCCTAAGTTGGGATGTTGCAACTACCTGAACAGATTCAGGGACCCAGAGTGGTGAGATACACATTTGGGCTGGAGGAGGTGGCAGTAGGCATATCAAGTGATGCTCTGAGGTGGGGAGTGTCCTGACCTCTTCTACTGTTCTGTTCTGGAAATTAAGGGTCTCTGGTAAGAGACAACAATCACAATCTTCTCTTCTTAATTTGAGACAATGTTTAAAAAGTTTACCCTTAGTGTTTATTTATATATGTAGATAAACATGTTTGTATATTTTGAAAATGTGTGTGTGTGCACACACACATACATATGTCAAAATGTATTTATAGGTAAGTAGAAAGAACAAGAGAGCAAACTTGATTTATGAACAAAAGGAGCTTTATACATAGGATTTGTAGACTTTCATCTTCCCCTTCCCCATTGTGGATATCCAGATCAGCTCTAGGAAGGGGCACAGGGACCTTGCTTAAGAACAATAATGACAAATCAGTTACTGCAATTTTTCCTTCTTATGAGAAGTCTTGATGTGTTATTGTCAAGGGACGCTCAAGAGACAAAAAACATAATTCAAAGTGGCTTAAGCAAACAGTGAATTTATTGACTCGGATAATGAACAACCTGACTCCAGGCAGTGCATAATCCAGTGTCTGGATGGATCACCAGGAACTTGCTTCTTCGTCTGAAACAACTCCATTTTCATGCTGGCTCTTTTCTTCTGAGGTGAAGTACTCTGAGAAGCAGATGCCAAGGCAGAATTAAGCATGGTGATGATTTGGGTCTCCATGTATCAATGTCAGTGCAGGCCCTGTGTCCAGTAGTCCTCAAAATGTCAGGTATTCCTCTTCTCCCAGTGTGCAGTCACCCTAGTAAATAGTTGTAAGTCTCTTTGGGGAAGGGCTGAGAGAATTATTACAGTATATATTTGCAGCAGTGTTGCAGAGCCCCTTCTAGGGACCTGGCTACCTCTTCAATCAGTGGGTTCTAGATCAAGTTTGGGAACTGGGCAAGGGATCATGACTTCATATTGAGGTCATTGCCCTCAGCCCCCTGCTCCTCCATCATTGCTCTTTTTTGGTTGTGGGTATTAAACAACACTCTTGCTGGCTACCCCCCTATGTTGCCCCTAGGGATGCCATACTTTATTATCCATCTCCATACCCCACTATATATCAAGCTCTCATTGGCTGTCCTCTGACCTTGGTGGTTGTTAGGTTCTGGCTTCTTGCATTTAAGCATCATCTACCACCAGACAACTATTACTTCGGGGGCTCCATCATTCCCACTGGATATTAGCTAATCCAACTCTGACTGCTTCTGCTGTCAGTCTTGACCTGCAGAGCAGAGCCACCACTGAACCTCTTAGTGATGCTGGTGCCCTTCTTACCAGCACATTCTTGGTGAATGGTGTTTTCTCTGGACCTTCTCCTGGAACATAATCATCTTGTAGTTTTTCCTGTCTTCACACCTAGTATATCCACTCCAGCAAGCCTACTTCTCTCAGCTTTTTAAAATCTTCCTCTTCCTCCTGCCTGGGCTACTCAGGCATTTCCACATTCCTCAGTGTTGGCCATCACTTTCTTCAGGCTTGTAAGAACCATTCTAGGAATGAGTTTGCCTATCCCCTGGGGTCTTGACAGGATATTAAATCCCATGTCTCACAAAAGTATCCCCAAGTCAATGAAATCTTGATTATCCAGTTTTACATTCTAGCTCCTTAAACCAGCACCCTCAAAATTCAGTATCAGTGGTCCTTATTGGCTGCTGCCTGTACAAGCTAATTATACTTTGTAATATAATTTCTCTCCTACCTCATGGGGCCCAGCATGTCCCCATCTGGATTCTACTGGGATTTAACTTTACTTATTGTTCTAGCAGCCAGGAGAAGAGGTAGGGGGAGCTCCCAAGAGGACACCAATTGAGACACCCTTGTTATATTTGCTGGCATAAGGGTAGGCCACCTCTGCAAGTTCTTAAACTTCAGGGGGACCTGCAGAGTCAACATACTCAGGAACATCCATCCATTCACAAGTCCATCAGGAATGTGCTGGTAAGAAGGGCACCAGCATCGTAGGAAGTTCAGTAGCTCTCCTCTGTAGGCCAAGACTTACAGTTATGAATAGAGGCAGTTATAGATTACAACTATATAGTTATAGTTATGTATTAAATATCCATGGGGAGAATGAGGGTCTCAAAGTAAGAGAGGCCAGGTGGTGGTGCTTAAATACATAACACATATTTCAGAATCCCAAGTTTTCCCAGTCAGAGCTCTTATCTTAGCATAAGAGATCTGCTTGGCTGGGTACTTAAATGTCTCTGGAGCTCTGTAACTATCACGCTTATGTACTGCTTAGCTGTGTCCACTCTTCCACTACAGTGGATAAGGGCTAACAAAGGGGTCCTTTGGCTTTCATGCTTAGCCTTTAACTGCTAGTCAGTGGCCCTCAGTTTCTCATTTTCCCTCTGCAAAGCCTCAGTACAACTTTGTAACCAAACAACTGCTATCATTATGGGAACTATCCTGCTAATTCAAATACTTGGATTATTACACCTAGCAGAGCATTGCCCTTCATCAGTTTGTTTTCCTAAATGGAAAACATCTCACTACCAGTGAACTCTTTTGCAATTCAGCTGCCATCTCTTTCCAGAAATTATCCCTACTCCACGTTCTGCTCAGGATGGTTTCTTCTTTACTCATTGGATAGTAAGTGAACCAGCATGAAAGTTTTATTTTACTACCTATTTTCTTCCAGCAGCATTTGTTTTAGTTTGGGTCCTTCAAGGATCATTTGCCAAGATGGGGTTAGAAGTTCAAGAGGTTTATTGGGGAGAGGGAAAAGGTGAAGGGGAGGGATCTAGTGAAGGTGAGGAGAACTTTCAAACAGCCATGCAGATCTGACACCTGTGAAGGAGGGAGGAAGGAAGGAGAATTTGGTTGGTAGAGTTTCAGAGTGCAGCACAGTTCTAAGAAATTTTCAACCACATTGATAGGGAGTCCTCAAGCCAAAAACTCCCATTAAAGCCATCTGCAATAGTACCCCTGTTATATTTAGTCTTGGCTGAGGGCACCTTGTAGAAAGCATTTCTTTGGCATGAATATGGTGGAAAAATCTGAAGGACAGTAGTTGAGGCCATCAGTCAATTATGCTTTGGTACGGACACTTTCTTGGCCATACTGTACGTAGTCTCAAGATGGCTTTTAGCATCTATGAGTACTAAATCATTCCAAGTTTAAATCCAGAGGAAGACAGGCATCTTTGGCCCAACATTTCTAGCAAAATCTCTGAGATTTACTTGGATTGGATTAGCTTAGGTAATGTGCCCACCCCTGAGCCAGTCCTGGTGGCTGGGGAAATTCCATGCCTTAATTTGCTTTAGTTTTCATGCTCCACCTCTAGGGCAGGAGTTGGAGGCCCCCACACATCACGAGAACTGAGAAACAGCAAGGGGCAGATTCCCAGGCAAAAATATGCACATAGAGAATACAGATCTTTTTACATTTAATAACTGTTGCCAGGTTGCTTTCCAAAGACACTATAGCAGTTCACAGTTCCACCAGAAGATATAATGGTATCTTTTCCCCAACATCTTCACCAGCAATATGTGTTAGTTTTCTTTTTAAATGTTTGCCTACCTGATGGATACAAAGTTGTGGCTCATTACTACTTTAATTTATAATGTACTAGTACTAGTGTTTTTAATTTTTTTTTTCACATATTCATTGGCTACTTGGAGTTTCTTTTCTGTAGATGGGCTCTTCACATCCCTTCTCCATTTTCTTGTTGTCTTTCTTACTGTCCTTTTGTTTTCAATTTATAAGAGCACTTTCATATTATAGCTAATAACCCTGTCTATTCTCTGCACTGGAAACAGGCAAGGGAAAAGCATTCTGGAACTCTGCACGTCTTCCCCTTCTCCATCTTCACTGTCAGTCTAGAGCCATAGCCCTCAGGGTACAGTCTAGATCAATAGGTGGGAATGCTGTGGGACAACTCTCACATTCATTTTTGAAAAACAAAATAAGATAAGCCCTGGTCAAGAACAAGTTTCCATCGTTCACCCTTACTACCCCTCCCCGCCCCCCACACACACATTGGGGCCATATCGCTCAAATTTCAGTCATACTGGAATCATCTTCCCAATTTTTGCCATATCCTTTAAATTGTGTACTACTATTTACGTTTCTGAAAATTGACTGTTTTACATAGATTTATTTTAAAAGGAAAGTTTATATTGTTGCCACTGTAACTACTAGTTATATTTTTCCAACATACATTAAAATAAATTCATATCTATGAAAATAAAAGATATCCATCTGTATACCACCTAAAACACCATACTTCGGGAAACTGCATTAGAACAGGCCAAGAGGGTCATCAGACTAGTCAAGGTCAATCTATCAATCACATAATCACCCCTATGGGGTTCATTTACAGCTGAGGAAAAGCAGCTCAGAAGGGTGCAACCGCTTACATGTTATCAAGTGGTGGAAATCACGGTCCAGGCCTTTCTCCAAAAACATAGCATAGCGGGGAGAAGGTTTGGGCTTGGGAGAGAAATTGACCTCGATTAAGTCCAAAGGACGGATTGTACACAGTGTTCAGGACCTGGGAAGTGCGAGCCCAGCCTGGATCAGGATTGCATTCTGAACATTCCGCATTCTGGCTGGAACATTAGGGGTTCTAAGGTTCTGCTAATTATGCTGGGGTCCAGGGATCTGAAGGGCAGCCTCAGGACCCGGAGCTGCCATGGGTCACAGTCCCTGAGCGGGGTCCACCTGTCCAACCTGGTACCCGGTGTGTGCCACATTCCCACTGGCTGGGGTTGCCAGGCCTGAGGAGCCATGTGCTGGCTGCGGGCCTGGGGCCAGATTCTCCTGCCGGTTTTCCTCTCCGTCCTCCTCATACAACTGCTCGTCAGCTTCTCAGAGAATGGTTTTTCCAAAATCTATAGTCCCAGGAACACTCAGAAACAAAAAGATTCGATTGAAGAGGGTGAGTGATTCGGATCCCTGAGGCAGGTGCCCAGTGCTGGTGCGCTGAAATTTCCATCTCAAAAGTTGCCATTTGCTATTGGTGGAAAAGACATTTTTAAAGGCTCTGGACGTTTTTGGTGAAACCTAGTTAAATTGAATTCAAATTAATTTTATCTGAGATGTGAAAAGTGGATTGAAACAGTTTTAAATTTGGGAAAAGCATGGCTTCCTCCCCTTCTCCCCACCCCCACTTTTTTATGTGCTTATGTAGCATATAAGCTTTTTGCTGTCACTAAGCTGTTGGGGTTTGTTCTAATCAGACCCCACTTAATGGCCATAGCTCCTCTTTCTTAAAGTTTTAAGCTCTTAGTTAATAAATAGCTTAATCTGTTTTTTTCTTAAGAACAAAATTCTTCAGTTTGGAGGCTCCCTTTGGTTTCCCTCCCCAACTGAAGAAATTTTGAAATGTTAACTATTATCCCCACCCACCCCCCTTTTTTGGCAGCTGGTGGGTACAGGGATGGAACCCTGGACCTTGGTGTTATCAGCACCACACTAACCAACTGAGCTAACCAGCCAGCCAAATTTTGAACTGTTAAAAGTCATGCTGAGTTAAATTCATGAACCTGGAAATTAGGTTTTTAGTATCCTAAATCGGAATTGTATAGATAGAATAAGGGACATTATTTGAATTACCTGCAAAATGTCCTGTAAAGCCAACATTGCCGTTTTTACAAGGACTATAAGACAGAATAATTATTGCTGTCTGGTTTCCAGGGTATAAAAGAATGTTGGAATCTGTAAGCAAATAAGTCTTCTTTACTAAAACCAAACTCACAGCTCTTGGCTTTGCACTGAAATAAGAATCTCCTTTGAAGGGGTGGGAGTGGGGTAGGCTGGATCAAAAGGCCTAGCTTGTTTCCCTTGGTTTCATCTTTCTATTAGATTTCTCTCTTTTTTAACTTCTTGGTAAACCCCGTACATACTCCAAGAGAAACAGTGTTCTAATACCATCCTGACCCTTCTCCCCACAAACAGCACCTAAAAACATAGGCCCAAGCACAGAAACAAATGTTTTCCTTTTCATGGAAATGTTTTCCGTTTCAGCAAAACGGAGTCATACTGGAATTTTTCAAAAGACGATTAAAATGCTGAAGAAGAACAAAAAGAAAGTAAACAAACTAACAAAGGGCCATAGATAACATAGTCTGGTCTCCAGAGATTGAAGTTTCTGATTCTAACTAGCTCAATTCTAGGGCTGACCAATCTTTTGTTGGGTGGCTGGCAGGTATGGGGATCTGAACCCTTGACTTTGGAGTTATGACACCACACTCTAACTATCTGAGATAACTGGCCAGTCCAGGCTGACCAATCTTGATCCATGTTTCTGAGGAAACAGCTTGCTTTTGCCTGGGAAGTCCGGTTTAACCTGCTGCGGGATCCCCTTGAGTGTTTGTTTCTTAGCCTTGGACAGTTTCCCCTTTGTGTTTGCATTCAGTCTTTCCATCTAATAAGGATGTGGTTTCTTAAACATCAGGATACTTTTTACTTCCAAAATTGAGAAAGCGATTCCAACCCTCAATTGAAATTTTCACCTATATCCCCACCGTTTATGTGCTGAGTGACAGGCAACAGACAGAACTTCTGAAGGGTCACACATCCAGTGAGACCTCCCCCTAAGCAGGTTGCTTCAATCCCCAGGGCCTTTAACTCTGATGTTCATTTACATTTGAGACCTTAGTAGTTAATATCTCAGGAAATTACAGTTTGCACTTGATGGAACTTTGAGTTAATAATCTTCTTCCCCAATATCTAATGAATGAATAAAAAAGGTATTAAATCCTCGAAGTAACCAGACAACAAAGGGTTATAGTCCAAAAGATAAGTGGCAACCAAGGAAAGAAATGGAAGATTCTGGATCAGAACAGAATAGCACAACATGCAAAGCTCCAAATGCTGCCACCACTCCTTAGAAGTAACTAGGGAGTCACAACTCCAGGAATTTTCATTAATACTCCCAAATCTAGAGAGAAGTAAATTGAGTGGGTGTCCTGTTGTTTACCCTACTCCGAAGATGAGCAGAGGAAATGGCTACAGAGGAGAAATAAGCACAAAGACAACCTGAGTAGTGGGCCTGACTCTCTGATGGAAACAGAGGTTCCTGCGTTGCCTGCAGGATTTGGAGGAAGATCTAGAGTCCAAAGATAGCCCCTTCATGGAAATGGGAAAGACCTTTAACGAGCTAGAACAACAAAATGTCAGAACAGAGAGTAGAGCCAAATATTCTAATGAAGCAGACTTTGTTAATTAATTAGACTAATTAATTGGTCTAATGACACAGTGTCACCTGAGTTCTTCCCCCTTGTCAAATGCTGAAAACAGCCAAGTGAGGACATAAAATGCCATAAAACTGTAGCTTATGGAAAAAAAAAACCTCAAGGATAGTGGTAAGGTAATAAATATCTCACCTTCACTATGTCGGAACAAATGGAAAGTCTATACAGAGTTATCCAAGCATTAGTAAGATGAAAATAAACAGTAAGCAACTATGCAAACACTGCATAGCAAAATAATCAAATAAAGGAGTATATGACAGCATGTAAAAAACAATCTACCCTGGAAGAAAACATAACTCAAGGAATAGATGGAAATTTCCCCATAAGTGCTTTGAACTAGAGAACAGACAAATGAGGAATAGATTCAGCAAAATAAGCCTTAAAGTTAAGATCATAAAGAGATCAGCATGAGATGAGAAGGCAGATTGTACCAGAAATAAAGGCCAAATAACTTGAATATGAGGCAAGGCTTCCAAGTTTACTCTCTTCATTTGTTTATTTCTGCAAATGGTGAACATACCAAGAATATCTGTCATGCATGCTCTAAGTATACTTACTGTACTGGGCTCTGGAAGCTGCCTCCTTCCTCTGTCTTGTAGCCGAGAAGGTGCTGTTATCTCAGGGAGGGCGAGATTTCACTTTCTTTCTGCTGGTAGAATTCTCAGTCTCTTCCATCACCTGAATACCCAGTTCTCAGTACTGTGTTCTCAGTGTTATATACGCTCAGAGTGATTTCTGTTTTCCTGCTTGGATCCTGACTGAACTAATACAGCCATCTTCAAGACAAAAAATACCGTAGGATTTTGACCAGCAGGCAGGCACTAGGAGGATTAGAGGGAATGACATTAAGGTTAAATGCTGCTGGGGAACCAGAAGAGAAACATAGTAACGCACTTCTGGCTGAGCAGGGGAGGGGTGAGATAATTTAAAACCCCAACAGGATGAAGTGGAATCTGAAAACATTAGGAACTTGTGACTTACTTTCTAGAGTTTACTCAAAGAGATCACCAGTCTCATAGATAACGCGAGGCTTACATGGCTCTCAAACAGTAGGGAATAGTAGCAGAAAAAAGTATTGCAGATACGCCCAAGGACTGCTTCACGGAGTCCCTTGTACGTAAGAATTTTATAGGGAAAGTAGTAGAAAGCCCTAAAATCCCCAAGATAGCGGATGGGGTACAGGTAGAGCAGCTCCTGTAAAAGCTGGCAGAATTGAAGAGTTCGAAGTCATTACAAGAGAATACATGGACCTCACATCCAGAAGCCACAGCGGGACCACAGACATCAGCACACAGCACTCCCTGAGAAGGGGACGAGAGGAGATTCAGAGCAGAGGAGGCTAGCAAGGAAACAGGAGGCGACTGCAGCCAGTCACCCCCAATGCCAGGGCAACACATAGGCTTCACCTCCCAGAAAAGTAGAGCATCCCCAAGGAAAAGGGGGAAGGAGCAAGCCCTGAGTGTAGCAAAATATTTATTTACTCAAAGGAGGTTGACTTATTAACTGAATTCAAATTTGCAGGTTTAAGTTTTTGTGGCACTAGCAGAAACGGGGGATTTAAAGTTGTGCTAAATTGTGATGTGAGACTGACTTCTGATATTGAGAGGCCTACATTAAATTCCACCTCTCCTACGAGGCCTTCCTTGATCCACCCAATCTGAGTAAATAGCTATTTCTATACTTAGCTGTGCCTCTCTGACAGTCCCCACTTCATTCTGAGAGGCAGAAAAATACAGAGATCAAGGGCAGCAGCTCAGACTGCCTGGACTACCTCCCAGCTCTGTCACTTACTAGGCGCATACTTACTGTGCCACAGTTTCCTTATCAGTAAAATGAGGGTAAAGTAAGATCTTCCTCAGTAGTTGTTGTGAGTATCAAGTGACTTAATACATATTATGCACTCTGGACACTACCTGGTACATGGTAAGTGTCCAATAAACAGTAATTTAATGATATTATTAACAATTTAATAATTTATTTACTTACATAAATAGTATATAATGACATAAAATGTCATATATTTACTTAATAAAATATATATACAGTTTAGTTTATATCTAATAATAATATATACATGACAGTGCTGAAAAACAACATGAGAGCCAGAAAATATTAAGAATTCCTGAAAAACATAAAGCAATTGTGATCAGACTGATGGAGAAAAACACAGCCTTAAACACACACAGAAGAGGACTCCTGTTAAGGGTAGGAGTGGTTGTGGCGTTGCTCCAAGCTCAGCATCAATGAATACAAAGAGCGTTAGGGAGTTGTGGAGTAACTGCCGGGGTGCTGATCTTGGAGCACTATGGATTATTGCCCCTTTACCTTCTCAGTTGTCTCAAGAAGCGTGCAGCAGAGGCAGCAGAGGCAATTGTTCCAGCAATGAATGTGAATTCTTGGCTTGGAAAGGCAGGCAAATGATATACTACCAACACACCAAGCCTGGCAGCATGTGTCAATCCTCTCCCACATCACACAGGCAGAAACAGCATCTATACACAGACCTATAAAAAGTTAGTGTACAATCAGGAATCATGAAACCCAGCAAGTGAAAGAACAAATTTATTAAGAAATATTTCATAGAGGGAAAATCATATATACCTCCCAGAGGATGGCAAAGAACAGAAACATTCCAAAGGAGACAACTGGCTAGCAAGCAGGTTGGCATGCCACAACTCTATAGGTGCTAAAGTAAGACAGTGAGAGTCAATGGATCAGAGCAAGACAGTTTGTTACTCATAGCACAGCAAACAGCAGGAGTGTCATCATAGGAGCCCCAGTTGTCCTGCCCCTGAGCCCCATGGAGCAATGCAATGGCCCAGATGGTGGCTTTGAATGCAGCTAGTTGCACTGTAGCTAAGGAGCTCAGGGCTTATGACCTTTTATAGTGAGCAGTAAAAAATCTAGTCCTCTGGGCAGTGAGTAGCTGTAACTATAGTCACACTGTGATTGCTTTGATCTGTTTAATTGACAGTATGACCGGGCTCAGGGTCAGAGGATCATTAGGCCAAGAAGTATGGCACACTCAGCAAGGAAATAGAGGGATGCTTAGGGCCTAGGATGCATGGCCTCTCTCAGTACTATAATTAATATTCTCATGGAAATACCCTTGAAACAGGAACAGACTGTTATGAAAAAGATTAAGGATCTTGGAAATTAAAAATATACTCAAGACAAACCTAGCTAAAGAATAAGTTAACAAGCTCGATGATTGAGCCATGGAATTCTTACTGAGTGCAGTACAAAAGAACAAGCGATTCAGAGCATGTCGAAAAAAGGAAGAAGAACTCATGGCAAAATTTGTGTAATAGGAGTTTCAGAAGGAAGGAGGAGAGAAATGAAAGAGAGGAAATAATAAGAGAAAAAATTACAGAAAAATATTTTTAAAAAATGAGTTTGAAACTAGACAATGAACAGACTAAGCAAGCTGTGCTCTAGAAATATATAAAATGGAAACATTTGGACACCTCAGGAGTCAAAGAGTTTATCACTCACAGATACTGTCTGAAGAAAGATACTCAAGGATATAATCTGGCAAGACAAGAAATGAATCTAAAGGGAAAATGTGGGATTCAAGAAAGAGGAGTAAGCAACCAAAAAAAACTAGTAAGACTTAGAATTAATATAATTAGAATTGATTTATATTGATTATGAATCAATAGCAATTTAAATATAGCAGTCTAATAATCATTAATAACTATTTAATAGTAATTAAAATTCCATATGATTTCTACCTGAGAAGTGGCATGGGGAGGAAGAGGAGGAGAATAAAAACATCTTAGGATCCTTGTATAGGTAGAGAATATAGATCTTGATAAGACAATGGTAGAAAAATGCACATAAAATACCTCTAAACATTTTTAATGTAACAGCTCAAAAATAGAGATAGGATGTATGACTTTGAAACCACTAGATGAAATAAAGGAACAAAGAGCCGATAGATGGAATAAGATGTACCTTACAAATGCTACTGAAGAAGAAAGCATGTATAGCAATATTAATATTAGGTAGGATAATTTAAGAAAAAAATTATTAAGCAGAAGAATAAGTGATATTCTATATTGACATTTAAGTGCAATATGCTAAGATGACACGTTATGAACCTTTATTCACTGAACAATATTGTTTTGAAATAGAAGTAACAAAAGCTGATAGAAAATTTTATAAAGCATTTGATAAATTCAAAACCACATGGACTCGGGCCGGCCTGGTGGCGCACTCAGTAGAGTGCAGCACTTGGGAGCACGGTGGCGCTCCTGGCGAGGGTTCGGATCCCATATAGAGACCGGTCCGCTCATGGTTGAGCCCAGTGCAGGTGCTACACCGAGGGTTGCGATCCTGTTACCGGTCACGAAAAAAGACAAAAAGGAAAAAAGAAAAAAAAAAAAACCACACGGACTCACTTTACATGCCTACATTTAAAAAATGAACAGGTGAGGTACATAAAATATAAGGATACAGTATAGAGAATTTCAATATATAAAATCTTGTTATCCACTCCCCATTTTTTTCTCTTAGCTACCCTTGAAAAATTTTCCATTCCAGATAAACTTTATTTTTTTAATTATTAACTTATTAATTTATTACAATGCCAATCAAAGAGAAAGTTTTGATATCTGGCCTAATATATTTTGATGCTGGCATCTCTAGGTATTTTAAATTGTAATCATTCATGGGAGAAGAGAAGAGGACCAAGCGTGAAGCTTTATGAAATAACATTTTAGACATTGGTAGAGGAAGTAGAACCAGTCAAGGAAACTCACACAAGAAAGGCCAGAGATGTTCCAAGAGAACTAGGAGAGAATGATGCTGCAGAAGTCATAAAAAATGTAATAAGGAGGAAGGAAATAACCAGATAGAAAACAGATAAACCTCAGACCCTTAGGGTGAAAAATCTGGAACCTGATAATGCCGTGGAAATAACCAGTACCTCTTTCTTCGGGGGTGGAATGCAAGAAAGAACCTACTGATTCAGGTAGCACGTAGGTCAGCTGTCCCCTCGTTGGTTTTCCAATGACGGCAGGAACGACTATTAAAAAGCTTGCTGGTTAGTTATACCAGTGCTCAATCGAAATCTCCAGTATGGAATCGGATCAGGCCACTCACTTACATGATGCGTAGAGGAGGGAATTTCACCTCTGCAGTGTTCTCAGGCAAAACCCACACACCCAGTCTAATCATGAGAAAAACATCAGACAAATCCAGATTGAGGGACATTCTACAAAATATCTGACCAGTACTCCTCAAAACTGTTGACGTCATAAAAAACAAGGAAAGACTGAGAAACTGTTCCAGGCCACGGCAGACAAAATGACTACGTGCAACGTGGTATCCTGCATTGGATCTTGGAACAGAAAAAGGAAATCAGTGCAAAAACTGGTGAAATCCTGGTAAAATCTGGAGTTTAGTTAAGAGTAATGTACCAATGTTGGTTTCTTAGTTTTTTTTTGTTTTTCCGCAGTTCAGACATTTTAATTAAGCATCTTTAACTTTCACTACTGTAATATTCAAATAATGCATGATGTAATGAGCCTTTTTGTTTGCAAAGCTGGAAGCCCTCCAGTAATTTAAGCAACATTTTGAATGAATTTAATTTTAACTCAGACTCTAGGTAACTAAGAATTATTTTTACTAATATCTAAAAATAAGCACAGATTTGCTATACCTTTAATCTTCCTGTGGTTTCATAATTGTAGGTAAACATGCATATTTCTAAGTCTAGGTTTTTATTTATTATTAGCTTGTAGCTAAGTATGCTGAATGCTCAATGCTATGTAATAAGAGAAGGACTCCAATCACAAGGACTTCAGGATACAGCCCAGAGGTTGGTAAACATTTTCCTTTTAAGGGCATGATAGTAAATATTTTAGGCTTTATGGGCCACATACAGTCTCTGTTGCATATTCTTCTTCTTCCTTTCCTTTCCCCATTAATTATACATCCGACAAAGGATTAATATCCAGAATATACAAGGAACTTAAACAACTTTACAAGAAAAAAACAAGCAACCCAATAAAAAAATGGGCAAAAGAGCTAAGTAGGCAATTCTCTAAGGTTTCTTAGTTTTGATAAATGTTAGAAGTAGCAGTCAGGAAGCTGGGTGAGGGGTATACAGGAGCTCCCTCTAAAATCTTTGCAATTTTTCTGTAAATCTGAGATTATTCCAAAATAAAAATTTTAGTTAACAAAAAAAGCTGTGAGAAGCAAGTAGAAGTTGGAGAACGGTGTCCGAGTCGTGTACTGTCTGTTCCTCTGTTCCTGCCTCCTGCAATAAGCTTGAGGCTGGCTGTCCTTCACCTGGCTGAAGCAGTGGAAACTTTCTCATCTACCTTGCCTTTTCTTCCACTCAACTTTCCCATGGGGACTTCAAGGATGCTCTGAGGTAGGAGGAAGTAATATTCAATAGGATTTACTTTGAAAACTGAATCGTAACCTTCTCCCCAGCCAAACCAGATCTGCATCCAATCAAACAATTTGAAATTGAATAGAAAGCTCTGACCTTTCCCACAGAGACTGTGAACTCTGTCCCCACAATAATAGAGAGTGAATTTATAGTTACTTCATCACAATACAACTAAGGCATTAATTACAGACCCTTTTTTTAAGGAGATGTTGGAGTAATAAAATGAGCCATAGAAATGCTTTTTTTCTAAACTCACAGTTTTCATTCTACAATTTTCAAAAATAAATTATACTGTTTATTTTTTCATAAAACAAGAAGAACGAAAGTCCTCATTTGGGGGAAGTTTTTAAAGCTTCGTGGCAAAACAGGATGGGGAATTTTTTAATATTTAAAGCACTAATTAGTTAACCAGCCATACCTTGGCAAAACCATGCTGAATGACAAAGGAGTTGCTAAAAGAAGTTGTAAAAGTATGAAGTTTTAATTATACAGTGATGTTGCCAATTTGCTTTTCCTCACTATTTTTTGGAAGTTTTCTTTTAGAACTTGGCTAATCTAAGTTGGATCATGCCATTTCATGTTTTTCCAAGTAACGGGAGAACATAAGAATTGGGATTTAAATTGTACTGGTGAAAAAAGTGTCTAGATACATGCAAATAATGAAGTAAAAGGCTGGGATATGGATGAATGTGGCTTAAAATAAAAATGATTAAATGAAAAGTACATTAAATGATTACATGTACTTTTACATATAATTGCACAATAAATAGGCTTTGGATTTACATTTTTGAACTTTATTTTTTTCTTGTAGCATGCGCTGAAAAGAAAAGTTGTCAATTGTGCATAAAAGATAAAAAAGTAAGTTAACTTTTTTATGAGTAAGTTGTTTGGGGAATGTTATAAAGTCACACAATTTACAGTTATAACAAATGACTAATAGCAGTTATTAAAATCTATTTCTGAATTTCAAACCATTCTTTGAAGTTCTGTAAATAAACAATGGAAATAATTGAGTACAAACGTGCTCTTTCTGGAAAATTATACTTCAAAAAGAAAACAATTCTTTGCTTGAAAGTGCATTATACTGAAATTTTGGAAGAATATTTTGTAAGTAAAGGAAAAGATGCCTTTTGAAATGTAGTGACAATTTTCTTGCCACTTCTAGTCCCTAAAGACTAGAAAGAATGACACACCATTCCTTAACCACCATGTAGCTAAGGTCCTCTTCTGTGATAATTAAATGTCTGACATCATTATTCTTTACCAGATTTGGAAGAAAGCAGAAATGCTATAAGTAATGAGAGAAATGTTATTACTTTGTGCCACAGACAGCTTTGCAGCAACCCTCACAAAACCATTCTAGTTTAACCTGTAATGGAGATCTGACAATTAACTCCAAAGACAGAAATGTGAAATTATTAATTAGAAAAGGGTGCACTCTAGTAATTAATATCTGTCATAGTGATCTTCATATATCATCCTCAGCCTTTTCTGTCTTCCTCCAGGTCGCCCATCTGCTTTAATGAGGACCTGGGCTCCTGGTCTGTGGAATTCTGTACCCAGTTCTACCATTGCCTTACATGCTTTCCACAGCCAGCGATGGCCCAGACACTTGTCTCAGTGCTCTGACGTCCTCAACCCTATGCATTACAATGTCACTTCTGTGGCACACCCTGAACCCGCACAATCTGCATCGGCTCTTACATTCTCATGCTTTTACACTGTACCTACTCTTTGGCCTCGACAAGACAAGACCATCCTTCCAGTCCTTTAACCCCTTCATTTTCTCTTCTGTTCCATGGCTCTCTCCTATGGATTCCCTACCTTCCTGTGAATTTTCATGGCTGTTCACCTGAATGGAAAATTCTTTTTTGTTGTTGTTAAGTGTTTTAGAATGGAAATTTCCAACATGTAAAAATAGAGAAAACAGTATAATAAAACTTTATATCCCCAAGATCCATATTGGCCAAACCTGTTTCATGCCCCTACCCCCAGAAGGATTATTTTGAAGCAAATAATGATACGGATACTGTATCATTTTATTTATAAATATTTGAATATATATCTCTAATAAATAAACACTTTACTTTAAAATATTGCAAGTCTATGATCATACCTAAAAATTAACAATAACTTCTCAATATATTGTTTGGGTTTTTTTTTTGAGTGTTGAATCAGATCCATACATTACAATTGGCTGATACATACCTTAAGCCTCTTTTAATCTATATGTTCTTTCCCCCCTTTTTCTTTATTGCAACTTATTTGTTACAGAAACTAGATTGTTTGCCCTATTGGGTTTCCACAGTCTGGATAGTGCTGGTCACAACCCATGATGCACTTTATCACATTCGTCTTTTCCCTGCTCTTCTGTTCTTGTAAACTGGTAATTAGATGTAGAGGGTTGATCAGATTCAGCTTAATTTTTTGGCAGGAATACTTCCTGTTGAGTTCTTTCATAGGAGGTAAATGAGGTCTGTTGTCTTGCATTTGGTGATGTCAGCAGCCAAGGATAATGCCTACCTCGATCCATTATTTCCTTGGGGGTTACAAAAACCACCACTACTTTAATGGCCTTGTTCTCTTATTTTTAACTGTGCTGGATCTACATTCCCCAGTTCCTTCCTTCAGTTTGTCTTCAGACATAATGCATATAATAATATGCATTATTAGCTGACTGCTGCTCGAGCATATAGCATCAGTCTGCATTAGTACAACTACAAATTCACAACTTCTGGTCTCACCTGAGCCCAAATACTATACATTACTTGCCTTTGGTTAGCAACATTTCCTAAAATTGTCCACAGCAGCAATACCAAAACTTTGTAACCATCCTTAAAGTTCCAATATTATCTCACACCCTGTAAATCTCAACAGATGACATTGTCTGTGATTTTATAGATAAAAAGAGAGTCTCTAGGTGTGATCTTCACTCCTGAAACTGAAAAATTGCTGTCATTTTTACCCTTCCTCTTAGAGACAGAAAAACACCTCCTCCAATTCCCCTATATCTCTCTATTGGACTTGAACACATGCATTCTTGGATTGTAACTCATATCATATAATATAAAAATATATTAAAATTAAAATATCATAATTTTTTTAATGTTCGCTTCCCCCCTGTTCTCAGTTCCCTGAGGACAGAATTTGTGTTTTATTCATCTCTGCGTCTCTAAAACCTCACGTTTCCCAGCACATGACAAGCATTCAATAACTATTGAATTAACTCTCGAGCCATTAAAAGAAGATTAAATTACATTCAGTATACTCTATAATGTAACAAGGTAGAGAATTCTACTTTTAAAAATTCCCAAACATAAATCATTGTGCCAATTCTAGGGATGTGTGTATTTGAGTGTAATTTTAAAAAATATTCCTAGTACCTCATAGAAATGAACTGAAGGATAATTCCACATGGCAAATAGAATTAGGGTGTCATCTTTTGGAAAGTGATCCCCTGCTCTCCCAGAAATTGAAAGCACGGACACAAGGCTTTCAGTGACAGTTTCTGCCATCTCCTATACTCCCAAAGAGAGTGCCGGAGTTTAGAGATGGCAATTTGTGAAGCAACAAGGAATATTTGAGTTCTTCTTGGACTAAAAGGAAGATGAACAGATATACTGAAATGCCTGGGGCTGTCCTACTTTATGCCCTCACTCCATTGCTTCATTGACCTGCAGAAATTATTTATGCCAACTCCTTTTCATTTCCCAAAATATCGCTGTTTGAAAGATAAATTATATTTATCTTAATTATAATTATATTTATCTTAATTATAGTTATCTTAACTATTATATTTCTTAAGGGAATCTTCCTTAGACTCTATCTCCTAATTTTCTTGTGATTTAGTAGTATAGGACTAGCCTTCCTAGAGTTAGAGAACATTCTTACCAAAAACAAATCCATAAAAAATGACCCATTTACAATATTACCCCTCCAACCACACAACTCATCAACACAGCATAGGCCAAATTCTGCCTATACCCTCAAAGAAATCTTACCTAGTCATTCCAAGGAGAAGTGAGTACTTTCTCTCCTTAACTACTATTACATTTTATATCTGTTCCACACATTTTGAAATTATAATATTTTTCCATTTATATTGGTTTTTGGAAAGTGTACATACTGTACCACTGCCAATTAAATTGTCACCCTCCAGAGAGCAAAAAAGTGCTTTATACATCTGTGTGCCCTCTGCTGTATCTAGCATTTGCCCGTAAATACCTTGTAAATGCTGTTTTGATCTTCTCAATATCCTTTACCTTAAAATCCTCCTTAACAGCCAGTCTCTCTCTTTCTCTCTCTCTCTCTCTCTCTCTCTCTCTCTCTCTCTCACACACACACACACACACACACACACACACACACACACACACACACACAGAGTCTGGCCGGTAAGTTCACTTGGTAGTACATGGTGCCAATAACACCAAGGTCAAGGGTTCAGGCCCACATACCAGCCAGCCACAAAAAAATAAAATAAAATAAAATCCCCCTTTGCACAATATAACTCATTTTCTATTTCTTTGCCAGCATAATATTAAGCCATTTGTTTTATACAATGTTAACAAACCACTAAATATTATTATGTCCCTTCTCCCTTTCTGCATTTTTTCATTTCAATGATATTTTCTTATAAAATATGAGTCTTGATGTCCATATCAACAGAGTTATACCATAGAATGAATACTGTAGTTTTCCTATGGAACAATAATAATCATCACCCTAAAGCCTTTTAGCTGGCTTCTCAGTTGTCACACTCCTAAGAGGCTGAGGTTGACAAGGTTTCATATTTATATGGGTCATCTTCCTTAGCTACAAGAAAAAAATCTATGTAATTTGTCTTAGATTATACATTACCAAGTTGGAGATGTTAGATATATTATATTGTGCCTCTGGGTAATGTGAAGTTCTGGTCTTTGAAGACTTTTTAGACTTAGTTAAGGTGTTAGTCACATCTTTTTGTGGTGAGCAATAGAAACCCAACTCAAACTAATTTAGTAAAAAGGGGAATTCATTGGCTCACAAACTTGGGAAGTCCAGGGATGGCCTTGGCTTCATGCACAGCTGAATCTCAAAGGATGTCATTCCCATTTTCTTTGCTTTCATCTCCCAACTCTGCCTCTCTCTGTGTATTGACCTCATTTTCTCCTATACCAAATGACATTCTCCATACAGCTGGTCAAGAGCTCTCCTGATGTCTGTATACAACTCCAAACAAGATTCTGATTGGCCCCATTGGGGTCTTATGTATAGTCCAGCACTAGTTACTGGGCCAGAGGGATGGGCTACCCTGAGTGCCACTGCCTGGGTCAAATGACCACTCCAGTAGCAGGAAAGGGAGAGCACAAGCTGATGGACAGCTGCAGAAGCACATAGAGTTGGGAGAAGAGGTCTCCAAAGGAAAGTGGGTGTGGTTACCAGAAGAAGAATGGGGGTACAAGATGGTCAGACAGAGATTAAAATAAAAAACTACTTCAGTCTACAGTATTTCACCCTTTGACTTTGAGGACATGCATATTCTATTTGCCCCATCCTCATATTTTAAAAAATGCTGCTGGCAAAATAACACAACTAATTCTCAATTAAAATTGTCCTCACCTGAAGCCACTGTTAGCTACTGCCCCAGCTCTAAGTATTCAGTCTCAGAGAGATGTGCATTACTCTTGATCATGTTTGAATGTGGCTCCTCCTCTCTCCTTCAAGTCAGCTAGATAATTGATTAAACCCAAATAACAACAGTAAAAACTCCCATTTAGAAGAGAGCATGGTAGTCAATAGTCCTATAATATATTCTGAGTCTGTAATATGTTCTGTTGAGTTTCCCTGGCTAAGTGGTGAGTTGTTGGTCACCAATCTGGCTGCCCCAGGTTTGACCTACCAAAGGAGCTCCTTTTCCATTCTTCTCTGAGCCCCCATCAGAGAGAGGCACAGGGGAGAATGTCTCTTCCAGGGAGTTCACCTGCTGAGGACTTGGTTGCTGGAGCCTGGGAATCAGATTAGCACTTGAGTAACCACAAGCTCCTCTCTGCCAGATTCAGGTTGTTTCTGACAATTTATCTCCCTCAAAACTCTGCTAGACAGCATGGACCTGATTCCTAGGAACTGTGAAAACTAGTAACCAAGGTCAGAAGTCTCTGTGGGTGTAATCCTCGAATCTAGGGCTTATCTTTGCATTTCCAGTCTTTAAGCAATAGTCCAGGAGAACAGGACTCATTTAGCCTAAGTGGCTTCAATCTTCGATTTGCCTACAAGACTTAACCTAACCTTTGGTCTTGACCAACTTTAAACAAAAGCTGGTCTGAAATATACCTTCAGCTTTCAAGCAGTGTTTAAGGGGTGGTTCTTTACATTGGGGAGAATTATTACCTGTGCTTGTCTCAAGAGGTGATTGGGAGGGGTCTGGGATCAGTACCAATAGGATTGGTTACCAAGCACAAAATCAGGCTGCTCAGGTTAGAACCCAGGTTCCCCTATTTACTAGGTGTGTGACCTTATGTAAGTCGTTTAACTACTCAGTGCCTTTTTGTCCCTATCTATAAAGTGGATATAATAGTACCTGGCTCACAAGGTGGTCATGCGGATGAAATGAGTTAATATATATGAAGGCCTAAGAACAGTATGTGTCACATGGTAGGCCATAGGTAAGTGACAGCCATTTTTACCGCTCTGCCCTCATTTTTTTTTTGACTCTTCCAGGTTCTAGTTGTATCTCCCTCAATGGTTTTTACCTTTGCTCCTTTCTTTTGCTTATTTCAATAAGGGACTTAAAATTCATTTTTCCTATTTGGACATGATTATCCAACCACCAATGAGCAGAAGAGGGAGGGAAGTAAGTCAAGGATGGTTGAAAGCACCACCAGGGCCATGTAATAGAGGAGGAATCCCCAGAAAGATTGGGCTCTGCAGACAAGGCAAATGGGAAAGAGTGTTGGAAAGATTTCTAAAATGATCCCCTACAGTCCTTATTACTACTTTGTGAAATAATGTCTTAGGTTTAGTTCCTTAATTTCAGAGTTTGATAAAGAGGTTCAGGTGCATGTGATTTTTGAGTGACTGCTCTTCAGCAAAATCCTATGAAGGAGTGAAGAACTTGGGGAAGATAAAGGGCAAGAGCCAAGAAAAGATGAGGTCTCAGCTGAAACCTACACTTGGCCTGAACTGTGGGTAGCCTCGGGGCAAAAAATCACATAGCAGAGCTGCCCCTGCCTCAAGGCAAGGATGTCTGCTATTTGGAACCCTATATCAATCAGTTACTGGCCTAGGAAGGTAATAACCTTATGGGCAAGGTGGTCTCCATCCACCAAGGGCAATCATTCAAGAAGAGGGGAAGCAGTGGGCTGTTGGCAGCTCACACTGCTGCTGAGGTTTGGGTGCATGGGCCTAGTAAAGTGGGTCTGGGTAGACCACTAATGGCATCTGCTTCAAATAATAATAATTAACGATGATGTCTCTTATTTATCGATTACTTGTTAAACTAGTACTAAAAACTTACTGGATTGTGATTATTATACTTGGATACTGCTTTTATTTTTTCTTTCCAAATGCAGTGTATTTGGTGCAGCGAAGAAAGGGCTTGCAAAAAATATTGTTTTCCATATTTTGGGTGTCGATTCAGTTCTGCATATTGGTCAAACTGTAGAGGTGAGTTGTCCTTATTTAAATTTTTGTGCATATTATTTCAATTGACTTCCAATACTAGTGACTTGCTACATTTGAAGGATTATAAATTCTTATATTTGCTTTAAAATTCAGCAAGGCTAGGGCTGTTTATTAGCATTTCCCCCAATACAGGCTTGCTGGTTGTTTCCAACCAATGTTGGTTCAAATTACATTAGCATTCACTCTGATTGGTGGATGCCTTGCTATACCAGTTGTTACATACTTTAAATTTCATTTATAAAAATTTCTGGCGTGTGATATCCATAATTCAGTGGAGGGATGTTTGTATTCATTTGTTACTTTAGGAATTCCAAGAGATTTTCACCTAGTCCTGGGATAAGGATATATTAAGTCTAGTCAAAGGATCGTTAAATCACATCTCTAATGTTGGAATTTTGGTATTTTATGTGGTACTTACTAAGGCAGGGAAATGTACCAGTACCTTTTAAGGAGTTTTCCAAAAAAATTGAAAGAAAAGGTTTTCCAGATAAGCCCTAACTATATGAGGGTTATATAATCTAGAACCACCAGTTGTCTGCTTTTTTCTTACTTAAAGTAAAAAGATATAAATGCTATTCTCAAAATCTCTGTTTCCTTCAGGTACTATCATATATATTTAAATCATATGTGTTTGTAGCTTATAAAGAGGTAACACTTCACATATTTAGCATGAACAGAAACTCTAGACTCCTATTTCATGTTTTGCCATTCTAGTTTTATGGTACACCAGGCTAATAAGCTACATAGTACTGAGGGGGAAAAGAGCTTACAAATGCTAGAATTCTACTTTCCCAGCAAGCATTGGTTGTCTCTTTGATAACGAACTGCTGAAACTCAAACAACAAACTATCCCCTGCTATCTATACGTATCTTTACAGAAATAGCAACCTGAAGGATCTGCTATTTTATCTGTTGGGATAGTACCAGAAATGAGTTTAGAGATAAAATAAAGGAAAAATAATAAGTCTAATAGTTTAAAAACTCGGAGATGAAAGAATTAAATGTTACCTCCTTTACCAACCGAGATTATTTTAAAATGTTAGTGATGTTGTATTAATGGTAGTTTTATTGGAATATCGTATCATTATTTTTGATAATGATTTGAAAATTTTAATTAATAGTTAGACTGCATGATACTAGAAAAGATGAAAATATAAGAAATGATTGATCTTCTGTTAACCGAAGGTGTATTTCTTTTTATGCATTTCAGTTGACATGTTTGGAATCCTGATGCTTGTACTCATTGCGATGTTAGTCACAGCACTCAGTTGGTACTGCTGCGCCTATTACTTTTACCTGCAGGAGTATGTTCATTTTGTCCTTAGTAAGAATGCACTTTGAGATAATATCATTGAAGAGAATGCTAAGCTAGTCATCAGGAAATGTCTTACCATTTTTTATGTAGTAAAAATAATATATCTACCTGGAAGGAAAAAAGTCCAAAAAGTACAGAAAATTGTGGAAAGTAAAGAAAAAATTTAACTCTCCCATCCCCCACACCACCTCTAAAACCTCTTTCCCAGGAAGAATCTTTTTAGTATGGTTCTGTTTGTAGTTCTGCTGTCCTCCATACATTTGAACTAGATGGTTATACCTCCTCTTCATGATTTGTTGACTTTAGATGTTGTCCATTGACTCCCCATCATGAAAGCTGAAAAATTTTATCTTGCATTATCCATACTCTTTTTTGTTATTTTGCTGGTAGTAAATATTGTAATTTTGTTATTTAGGGATTTTAATTTTTGTTTTTCATTGTTTTTAGTTATTAGATCTTAGGGCTACTAATGTTTCTTTTGTTGGTTATCTTTTTAACTTTGAGTAATCCATTGAATCCTGTTTCTATATCTCAATCCTTCTCTAATTTAAGATAAGAAAATTTGGATCCCTATGCTTCCTTCCATCTATCCTCTCCTATCTCTGCAACTCAGTAAATGTTCTCATTAATTTGACCTTGTCAAGTATGTAATATTTGCATTCTTTTCTGTGTCTATAATTATATCATGAAATGCTTACTCTATACTTTGAGTCCAAAATTTCTACTTTTTATTCGTTACACAAAGAATAAAACATATTATGATTGTGTAAATATTGTTCACTAAAGAACAAAAGTGGAAGTAGGAAATGTAATTCTGTGCCACTAGCCTGTGTTGCTTGAAAGAGAGTTATCAAGTGTCGAAATCAGATAGATTCCTTTCCTTACTCCCCATTTCTCTAAATTATGCTACATTTCAGCTTGCTTCATGTTTACATTGTGACTTTCCTATACAACTTTTGCATTTTCTAGAGTTTTTAATTATCTTCATTGTTTCTTGCTAATGAAAACACATGTATCTTTATTCCCATCACTGTGATTATTTATCTTTGTATTTGCTAAGATGTATTTATTTTCTTCCTATAGACATTCTTCTGAAAATCCTCTGACTTCCCATTCTAATTCACAAAAATTAGTTTCTTTTTACTGCTCAAATGAACTAGGAGAATTTTTTGGATCCCGCATCTTCCTCTTTTCAGGTTTCAATGTTTTTCCTTTTGTTGCAGTTCATATTCAAGTAATTTCTGCAAGGGGAGGTCATAGAAGATTTACAAAGTGTTTCTTTAGTCCATACATGTCAACAAATTTTTTTTTCTTCATTCTCATTCAGCCTAGCATGTTATAATTTTCTTTCTTCAGGTTGTATACATTTTACAAGAAGGACCAATAGATGAGATAGGCATACCCAAAGATAAGATATATGCACACTAATAGGCCCATCTGTAAGTAAAATGTGCTTTTAAAAAGATAAGGGGTGGCGAGTTAGCTCAGTTGGTTACAGTGTGGTGTTTTATCACCAAAGGTTCTGTTTGCTTAAGGTCTCCACTTTGTCTAGAACTTCATATTTTTCTGGCTTTAAGACTTTATGTCTGTCCCTATTAACATACAAGGACAAAACAGAGTAAGATGTAAGATATTCCTTGGTCTTTACCTCTAAAACTAAACAAACAAAAAATAATAATAGTAAAAGAAGGAAGAACCAATACGGCACATTGTATGTGTGGCAAAAGCCTGTTTTGTGGTTTTTTTTCTTTTTTCTATTTTCTTCCTGGCTTCTTGTAAAAGGTATCACCTTTTTGTACAGTGCTTATGAGTAAAGTAGCAAATTATGCCCATAAGAGTAGGAACTTGAGAAATATCCATTACTGAAGTTTCTTTTGTCTATGATTTAAAAGAAAAACTATGAACCTTCTTTGCAAATATAGTCCAACAATTATACTCAGTTCTGGTTTAACTCTGCTATTTACGTACCATCTCTTCTTTTTAAATTTCTCCTAGAGATCTTCTAGACCTCGTTAATTCAAGAAGCGCTGTATTCTGTTGGAGGAATTTATCTTATTAAGGACATATTGCACTTGATAATCCAAAGATCCTGGTTGGGTTCTAGAAACATCAGCCTTTCTTTTTAAAAATGACATCGAATGACCAATGAAGCATCAAAATATTGATTGCTGCACTTGATCTAATATTCTTGTTATTCAGCAAATATGATTATAAACAATTAAAGCACTTTAAAAAGTTCTAAATGTTAGAGAATATACATGTTTGCCCATGCACTTGATACCTCCTTGCCTCTCATCTATTCTTTCAGCACATATTAATTGGGTGTTTATTATGCACTAGGCAGTGTTGTTCTCACTAGGGATATAATGGTAAACAAGAAGATCAAACCCTTGCTTTCATAGAGCATACATCCTACTAAGGGGACACAGACAGGAAAACAAGCAATTGTTAATCCAATTGCTAACTTACTGATATTTTAAATAACATTCTATTTATTTTAGTTATGTTTTTCTTAATCAAATGTTTTAATTCTGCTGGAGATTAGATAAAAGAATTTAATTTATTAAAGTAATGATAAAATATTGCATAAATTCAGTCTATTTAATGAAATAAAATAATTCCAACTATAAAAACTATTCTGAAAATAAACCTAATTCTAAATTCACCATCATTTTGAACAGGAATCAAGCCTATATAAGACGACAGACTGCTGTTCACTACTGGCAACCTCCTGGCAAGTATCTTTATTTATTTGATAGGATGTCTCAGATTCTTTTAGTAACAGCTGGCAGTCTTTCCCTTACTTCTTACAGGCATTAAAATTAAAGTATGAGTAGGAAACATGACAACAGATTTCATTGTTCTCTTTTCTAAAATACAGTTTTGTAACCTCAATAGCTAGCTAGACTAGAGATAGTAAAACCACAATATTAATAGAGAAGAGTTAAAATTTTCTAACCCAGTTGGAGATATTAATAGTTTCCCCAGTTCCCCCAACTCTCACTCCACAAAAGCAACTCAACAAAAGATGACCTTTTCCTTAAGGAATCCTTGCAGGCTTTTCCCAGATTAATTCATTGCACCTTACCTAGTTCCTTGGCTAACCCTCTATTCACTATTCTCAACTTGATTCTTTGAAGTTTCCCTTACTTACAAGGCTCCCCCTTACCCAGGACTCAGATGTCAGCTTCTTTCAGCTTATCACCCACAGTTCCTGGCAGGCGTTTCCAATCCTCTGCCTAGGCCTGAGTCCTAGAACCCCAGCTGGACTCAGAACCATGACCCCTTTGTCTGCTTGAGTAATTGGACCACAGAAAATTTTAGACTATCATTAAAAATAACTTTGAGGGGGAGGCATTCATGTCATTATGGTGCTCTGGGCCGCAGGAGCATAATATTAGGGAATGTAGAAAAGCCTCGGACCTATACTTTCAGGTTACAAGATCTGAACAAGAAGCAGTGTAAACCTTGTAGGGGCAAGGATGAGATGTTAAGACATACAAACTCCATTGCTAACTCCTAGATCTTGTTATGTAGAAATCATCTTGGTGGTAATGGAACCATGAGGTGTTTCAAAAAGCTATTTTGGGAGGGGCACTGAAATGCAGGGCTATTGCTGCTTCTTCCTAGGGTTGAAATCAAACCAGAGGACTGTAGAGAATGATGCTGCATTTCAATTTTTCTCCCTCCATTTTAAATGCCACAGCACATTGGTCCAGGAGAAATGCTTTGAAAAGAGCACAAGGTTGGGCATGTATTTATCTTAGGTAGAAACAGTTATTTACTCACAGATTGAGAATAATTGGATTCATTGTAAGGAGTAAAATGTAACAGATTCACAGGACAGGATTATTTTCCATCCAGGAGAAAGCCCAAGGGCAATGCCTACATTAAAGGGTTGGATGAAGAAAACAAGATCCCGCAAAAGGAATTGAGAAGAAGATGGAAAAGTGGGAAACGGTGTCATAGTGATCAGGAGAGGAGGGTCTGAATGTGGAGGGAGGGGGATTCGTGATTGTCCTTTACTTACAGATTGGGAGTTTATAGATAATCTATTTGCCCATTGTAGACTTAAGCGTGTTTATGTAAGACATAGAACAAGCGGACTTCTGACTTGTGAAGCAGGAAACAATGGAGCGTATAAAATGTTACATACTTTGTGTGTTATTTGACCATAATGTTCCTCATCCATGAAAAGAATTATTCTCCAGGAGTGGTAGCAATAGCACGCTTCTTGGTCCATACTTCTTTCCTAGAAAATGAATTCAGATGATTTTCTGGGATTAGGGGTTCATTGAGCATCCACAGGTTTTCTGTCAGTGGAGACAACTAGTCTTTTGGTTACCATCAAATACTTGACCTTTTCCTCTTAGTCAAATGTATACCAAAGTTGACACTGCCTTAAATCACTTGAGCCCTAAATATTAAAATAAAGGTAATATTAAAACCTCAGAATAGAAATTCTTTGATTATTTATGAAAATTTTGTTTAACATTTTCAAATATTAGGTAAGTCTTCATTGAATTTTCTTAGAGTTTGAAAAGGTAAATTTATTTTCTCTTTTCATAGTATATGATGAATAGATAACTGTAAAGATAGATCTTCCAGAGAGAGAAGTAGGAACTTTCTTCAATGGTAAGGTTTCATATTATATTGCATGGATTTTCTGCATTCTTTTTCCTTCTCCTGTTAAGCATCTCTTCAGGAATATAACAGAATTATTAAGAAAGAAAATGTAATTCAAATCTGTTAAATGTAGACAGATTTTCAATGCCTAAAAACATGTCATAGAAAGCAGCCTAAAATGATGGTATAACAATTCCTGAGTCAGGCTGCCTTAGTTGAAATTTGGGCTTCTCCATTTATGAAGTATGTCACACTGGACAAATAACTTAACCGGCCCGGACCTTGGTTTCCTCGTTTGTTAATCATATCTAATAGTAGTGACTAAATCATTGATTGGCTGACTCTGAGGACAAAATGAGATTTTATAGGTAAAATTTTTAGAACTGTTCCTGACACTCAG